GTGGCACACGTCTTTAATCCCAGTACTTGGGAGGCAAAGGCAGGCGGATCTCTGTGAGTTCAAGGCCAGCCCGGTCTACATAGTGAGTGAGTTCCAGGACAGCTGGAGCTATAAACAGACCCTTTCTCAAAAAAGACAAAAAAAAAATTTTTTTTTCTTTATTCTTTTTATTTTATATGTATAAGTGTATTGCCTGCATGTGAGTGCACCCGTGTCGTGCAATGCCTGTGGAGGACGGATCCCCTGGAACTGGAGCTACAGACAGTTGGGATTTGAACCCGGGTCTTCTGCAAGAACAACCAGTGTTCTTAACTGCTGAGCCATCTCTTCAGTCCCAAAAACAAAACAACAATTTTTTAAAAAATAAAAGTATGAGCCAGGCGTGGTGGCGCATGCCTGTAGTCCTAGCACTTGGGAGGCAGAGGCAGGCAGATCTCTGTGAGTTCAAAGCCAGCCTGGTCTACATAGTGAGTTCCAGGACAGCTGGGGCTACAGGGAGACCCTGCTTCAAAAAGACCAAAAATAAATAAATAAATAAATAAATAAATAAATAAATAAATAAATAAATAAATAGTAGCAAGGTGGCACATGCTTGTAATCCCTAGCACTTGGGAGGCAGAAGTGGAGAATCAAGAGTCCTAGATCAACCTTGGCTACCCAGAGTTTGTGGTTAGTCTGAGCTACAAATGAGACCATGCCTCAAAATCAAAACAACAAAAAACTCCTGGTTCCTTAATCCAATACTTCTTGCAATCTTTTTTTGAATTAATTATTTTTATTTTATGTGTATGTGTGTATTGCCTGCATATAGGTAAGTGCACCCATGTCGTGCAATGCCCGTGGAGGTCAGAAGAGGCTGTTGGATCCCCTGGGACTGGAGTCATGGACATTTGTTAGCTGCCATGTGGGTGTTCGGATTTGAATCCTACTTCTTGCAATCTTTAGCAAAGCACAGTGGCTCATACCTGTAATCCTAATACTCTATAGAGACTGAAACAGAAGGATTGTCACAAGTTCAAGACCAGCCTGCTGGGCTACTATCTTAAAAAAATAATAAGTATTAGCCGGGCATGGTGGTGCACGCCTTTAATCCCAGCACTCGGGAGGCAGAGGCAGGAGGATCTCTGGGAGTTCAAGGACAGCCTGGTCTACATAGTAAGTTCCAGGACAGCTGGGGCTACAGGGAGACCCTGTCTCAAAAAGACCCCCCCCGCAAAAAAAAAGTATCATATGATCAAGCAATTCCACTCAGTTGGAGATTCATATATTTATAAAATCTCCATGAGAATGAAAATACATGTCTATTTAGAAACTTGTACACATGTTTATAACAGCATTATTTAAAATGACCAAAGGGTGGAAAGCCTCAGGTATTTCTCAATAGACGAATGGATAATCAAATTGTGGTACATTCAATGGAATACAAAAAGGAACAAAGAAAACCTATTGAGGTGGTCCCTAACTGTAATACACTTAGGACGCTGAGGCAACATAGTAAGAACCTATCTCAAAAAAAAAAAAAAAAAAAAAAAAATCGGAAATCAGGGCTGGAGAGATGGCTCAGCGGTTGAGAACACTGGTTGTTCTTGCAGAAGATCCGGGTGCGCGTCCCAGCACCCACATGGCAGCTAACAACTATCCATAACTCCAGTCCCAGGGAATCCAACAGCCTCTTCTGACCTCCGAGGGCACTGCATAACATGGGTGCACTTACCTACATGCAGGCAATACATGCATACACATAAAAAATAAAAATAAAAATGTTTAAAAAGTTGCTATAGCATTGGAAACATGCTAAGTGAAATGAAAGGCACAGTCACAAAAGGTCACATATTATATGATGCCCTTTATATAAATCTAGAATAGACAAATCCAGAAATAAAAAGTAGAGGATACCAGATGTGGGGAGAAATGGAAAGTGATTATACAGAATATAGGGTATTTTTAGAGGTTGATTAAAATCCTAAATCTAGAATTGGTGGTTATACAACATCGTAAATACAACTCAACTCTGTGTGTGCTTATACATATACAGTACATATATAGTTTGGGGTTTTGTGGGTTTTTTGAGTAAGGGTCTCATACAGCCCAGTCTAACCTAGAATTCACTACGCAGCTGAGGATAACCTTGAACTACTAATCTTCCTGTCTTCACTTCCTGAGTGCTAGGATCAAGCCTAGGACTTCTACCAAAGAAGCTACATTCCTAGCCTTCAGCTTTTATGTTTGTTTGTGGACAGGTTATTAAGGAAAAGTGAGAAAGAATGGGAGGTGCTTCAAGAAAGGAATAACCCCTTTATTTTTTGAGACAGACTTACTGAGTAGCCTAGGCTAGCCTCAA